TTTTTTTTTCTTTTAAATTTTTTTTATTAAGTAGTTGCTTTCTATAACAACTTTAAAAAAAATTGATTTCTTCAACCTATCTTTATAAAAAGATGAAACCGTACAAACAGACCATAATACTTATACCTAATATATGAATAATAGTTTTATAATATAGTGTTGCATTTTTATATATATATATATATATATTATATAGTGTTGCATCTTTCAAAATTCACGGCGGTAGAGATATATAAAGTTTAGTATCATAACTTTGTATGAAGATCCATCACACAAATATATAAAGAGAAGAGGTGCAAGTGTCAAAAGATATACCAAGATTTTTACATAGAAAGTCCTAAAAAGGGGAAAAGCTACGGGGCCTAGCCTAGTTAAAATTATTTTAGACATTGGCTCAATGTATCATATATAATATATTACATAGTTGGGTAGGAAGAATCCAATGATAAGGGAGACATTGTTCTGTTCATTTGGTTGGTAGGGCTGCATTTGGGCAATGGAGATAAGAGGGATTGTAGTTGCGGGTGATGGTAATCAGAGGGACCGTAGTTGGAGAGCGAAGGTGGTCGGAGGGACTGTAGTCGGCTGACGACGATGGTCGAATGGACCGTAGTCGGTTGGCGACAATGGTCGAAGGGATCGTTGTCGGGCAGCGACAGTGGTCAAATGAACCATAGTCAACAGGCGACGATGGTCAAACGGATCGTAGTCGGTGGACGACGGTGGTCAGAAGGACTTTAGTCGGCGGACGATGGAGGTAGGAGGGACAGAAGTCAATGAGCGATGGAGGTCAAAGGGACCCTAGTTGGCAGACGACGTTGGTCGGAGGGATCATAGTTGGCCGACAACGATGCTAAGTGGGACCGCAAATCGGCGGGTGATGGAGGTCGGAGGGATCGTAGTCGACATGTCTTTGAGTTATAGTTTGAATGATCCTCAATTCAATTTCGAAAGTTTCTAATTGGGATATGCCACGAGATTCGTGCATGATTAAGACAATTTTAGGTGACATATCAAATTATTAGATATATAAAAATATAAATGTTTAGTTTTTTATAATACATATAACTTGCACCTGAATAAGATATAAATCAAATTTAGAAAAAAAAAAAGAATAAGATATAAATCAATATCAATAATAAAAATTAGTTGACTATACAACTAAATTATCATTCTTCAAAAATAATTGTTCTATCTCATTAAATTTAATAAAATATCTCATTAGCCCATGTGGCAGGATTTCTTAAATAACAATATCCTGAAAATTTTTAAATAACAATATCCTGCAATCATGGAATTTCCCTATAAATAGCTCTCTTGGCTTTACCGTTTCAAGCTCTGTTCTCTTCCCTCGCGATCGCTCGCTCTTTCGCTTGCTTCGCTTGCTCTCGCTCGAGTGCGCGCACACTCTGTTTCATTATCTGCAATGTCGCTCCTCGCTGATCTTATCAACCTCAACCTCTCAGATTTCACAGAGAAGATCATTGCCGAGTATATATGGTGCGCTTCTTCACTGTTGAATATCTTTCTCTTCTGCTGATCATGAAGTTTCCAGTGGGAAAACAAATAAAATTTTGGAGCTCATTTTTTGTTTTTGCGCCGCAAGCAACTCTTTGGTTTTTATTATATTTTTTTTGTCCATGAATATTTCCTTAGATCAATTTTTTTCCTTTATCTTGAGGAGGTGGATTTCAGCTTTTGTCCTTACTTATCTTACTTGTTCTATTTCGCAACATCAAAATTGAGCCCTAATTCATGTTACTAACATAATCATCCTTATTTATCTCTTCTTTGTAGTTTTGTTTATCTGCTTTGTTTCTTACATATACATACATTTCTTGTGTGGCTTGCAGGATTGGAGGAACTGGTATGGATTTGAGGAGCAAAGCAAAGGTATATATTTATTTTTACCCTATGATTATAATTAAATGTGCCGCCTCAATTATTTTATCTATTGGGACATTTTCCCCTCAAACTTAAGGGAAAATTCTATAAGATGGTAGTGAGGCCTGCAATGCTTTATGGTGCTGAATGTTGGCCTTTAAAAGAGAAGCATAATACTAAGTTAAGTGTGGCAGAGATGAGGATGCTCAGGTGGATGAGTGGCTTTACCCTTAGAGATAGGATACGAAATGAGCATATACGTGAAAAGGTTGGAGTAGCTCCAGTAGAAGATAAGATTAGAGAAAGTCGCCTTAGATGGTTTGGTCACATAAAACGGCGGCCTTGCGATGACCCGGTTAGGAGAGTAGAGGTATTAGATTTGACTTATGTTAAGAAAGGTAGGGGTAGACCTAAAAAGACTTGGTTAGAAAATATTAGGAATGACCTTTCTTTATTAGATTTAAACAAGAATTTGACTTTTAATAGGACACAATGGAAAAAAAGGATTCATGTAGCCGACCCCACGTAGTGGGATAAAGGCTTGATGTTGTTGTTGTTGTTGTTGGACATTTTCCCTTGCTTTTGGTTGCAGTTTTTCAAGAATAGTTTTTAAATGTAGTTCTTCTATGCAACAGACTCTTCCAGGTCCAGTGACTGATCCCAGCCAGCTGCCCAAATGGAATTACGATGGCTCGAGCACTGATCAAGCTATTGGGGAAGACAGTGAAGTGATTCTGTGGTAAGTTTCTTCTTCTTACCACATGTGCCACAGGATGGTGGATGGGTTCAGTTTGTTTCAGTTTCTCTTAAATTTTGTGTTTTTTATTTGAGAAGTATGTTTAGCTTCTACTACTTTGTACATGCTGATATGTTTGTGCATTTGTAGCCCTCAGGCTATCTATAAAGATCCTTTCAGGAAGGGGCAAAACATTCTTGTAAGTTTTAGTATTTTTTTTCCGTCTATTATTGTTTAGGATTTCAGGAAGTAAATGCTTTTTTAGTGACTATTTTATGTGGATTGTAAGTTGTCTAGAAAGTTTGCTAGCAAATATGTGGTATTTTTTGAAGAAAAGGAAAGTCAGAATAGTCTTTGTTGTGATTCTTGTGAACAAACAAATATGTCATGACAACACTTGATCCATTCACCATTTACTCGGAATAATTTTCTGGATATAGAAATAATATAAGGAATCAATTTCCATCTATAATGGAATGTGAAAGTTGAATCTTTTTATTGAATTTTGTAAATTTTTTTAAATTTTACTTTTCTGAATTGATCATCAGTAAATATATGTTTTTGCTTTTTAAAAAACTTGTGAAAACGCTATTGAAGTATAAATTACCGTTCTCCAATCCTCAAGTCTTGCAACTCAAACGTGTTTTTATTTGGCCCAAAACAAATTTTATTCTCTTTTTAGTTCTTTTTTTCTTTCATTGGTTGATGACCTTGCTCTTTTCTCATCATTTTTTTTTTATGTTTGATTCTTGGATATTGCTTACATGCAGGTCATGTGTGATTGTTACACCCCAACAGGAGAGCCGATCCCCTCTAACAAAAGATATAATGCGGCAAAAATTTTTAGCCATCCTGATGTAGTTGCTGAAGAACCTTGGTAACCCGAATAGTTATTTCAAGTAGTTTAAGTTGCTGTTTACTATGTCTTATGCAGTACTGGTTTGAAATCATTTCTTTTTCGGATTTTATTTAAGGAGCATGATGTTTAATTAAATTCGGAATATGAACAGAGTATTAACTAAAATTTAAAAATAAGCAAAATTAACCAAACAAAATGGCGCATTCCATTTAATTCTCCAAACAGTTTAGCGTATTTAGAAAGCGTCAAACTGTTTGACGCTTTGCTACATTACTTTTAAATTTTAATTCAGCTAACTAGACTGAATGCATTAAATAAAAACACTCCAAATCATTTGGGGCATTATGAATGCATCAAATCATTTAGTGCATTCTTTAGAATGCACTATTTTTTGGCTAGTTTGCTTCTTTTTTAATTTTTTTTAGACTCATGATCCTATTGCTAATTTAAATTGCTCCTATTTATACTATTCCATTTGTTTGTACCGGGCGATCCCCATTTCCAGGTATGGGATTGAGCAGGAGTACACCCTCCTTCAAAACGATATCAGGTGGCCCCTTGGCTGGCCGGTTGGTGGTTTTCCTGGTCCCCAGGTAATCAAAAATAGAATTGTTTATTATTATTGTTAACATTCACATTTCCACCATTTAATTTTCTATGCACTATTAAGCCAAATCACTAAGGAATTATTATGCCAAATCATTTTTCAGAATAATTTTACAAATGACTTGGAGCTTTTCGTTTTGCTCTGTGATTGCTTGCTTTGGCTTCCACATCGATATCTTGATAGCTTCTACATGTCTGGATTTGTAGTTAGTGGATAATTATGTTCCTTTCAATTACTTATTGGCTCTATTACTTATTCCTCTCCAAAGAATTAATTCTGCCTTACATTTAAGCTAATGTAATCTGCAAAAAGAAAAATCGATTTGTAATCTCGAATCAGCTTTATCCTTCTGCCCAATCTCACCTGCGTGACTTTTGTAACAGGGTCCATACTACTGCTCAGTAGGTGCTGACAAATCATTTGGTCGTGATATTGTTGATTCCCATTACAAAGCTTGCCTATATGCTGGGATCAATATCAGTGGCATCAATGGAGAGGTGATGCCCGGTCAGGTAATCAACTCCTTTCTTTTGTTCCATTTCTCAACTGAGAAAAAAATAATCTTTTTGTTTTCATATAAATGAAACTTAAGAATTATACTATATTTGCAGTGGGAATTTCAAGTTGGCCCAGCCGTTGGCATTACTGTTGCTGATCAATTGTGGATTGCTCGCTATATTCTTGAGGTATGTACAAAGCATCCACCAAAACTCCATTTTTGTTCCTTTTGTTATTTGTAGGCTAAAACTTCTTCTTGAACTTCTTTGTTCCATTGTTAACTATTAACTTTGGTATTTCTGTGAATAGAGGATTACTGAAATTGCTGGTGTGGTTCTTTCATTGGACCCAAAGCCTATCCAGGTTAGATTAATTCTATTTTTGTTTTGTTTACGAGGATTTTGAACTTGATTATGATAATGAAATAAATTTCTAACTATTTATTTGCTTAAGGGGGATTGGAATGGTGCTGGTGCACACACTAACTATAGGTAAAAAAATGAATAAGATCATAGAACTGTGGTTTTTACTTCTCATCTGTTCTCATTTGTTTCAAAATTATATTTCTTCCTTCTCTATTTTTTGGTAATTTTACTCTATAAGCACTAAATCCATGAGAGGAAATGGAGGGTATGAGATCATAAAGAGAGCTATTGAGAAACTAAGCCTAAGGCACAAGGAGCACATTTCTTGCTATGGTGAAGGCAATGAGAGTCGCCTCAGTGGAAGGCATGAAACAGCTGATATCAATAATTTCTCTTGGGTATGCTCTTGATATTAAATGTTATAATGAAAAGTTTAAAGAAGAAATATTTCATCAATACTTCAATTTCATACGGCAAATTTATAAACTAACTGTTTAATGTCATCACTACAAGGGTGTTGCAGATCGTGGAGTTTCAATTCGTGTTGGTCGGGAAACTAAGAAGGATGGAAAAGGTAAGATTTGTTATTGCATCTAAGATCAATCTATATTTACAAGCACAAAGTTGAATTGTTTTTTCTATTTGCAGGTTACTTTGAGGATAGGAGGCCTGCTTCGAATATGGATCCCTATATTGTGACATCCATGATTGCTGAAACCACTCTTCTCTGGAAGCCATCATAAGAAGAATTGATCTCCATGATTAAATTTTTGTGGTTCGCATCCAACTGATTGAATTATATGTTGTACTTGTTTAGTTTTAAGTCATCTTAATTTACTTTTCCTTTTGATGAGTTTAGTTTTTTTTCTTTTTCTTTTGTGCTGCTGGAGGCAAGTGGAGTTGTTTTAGGTCATCTTGGTTTATATCTCATTGTCAATTTGGTTTTTTCCTTCATCCTATTGGAGGAAAGTGGAGAGTGTAAAACAATGTTAGCATTCCTCATGTCTAGCTATTTATCTGAAGTTCTCCTTTTGATATGAATGTCATTATCTGTCAAAATAATAAATTGTGATATCTATAACAAGTCCACTTGCCTACTAATTTTAGTTATCATGTGCTAGAAGATTTTGTTGTAATAGATTGTGATTTTTTGTCTTAATGTGGCATCAAAGTTCTACACAAAAAATGAATTGAAGCTTTAAGTCAAGAATTTAGAAAGAGAATATGAGAGTAGCAATTGTTAAAGAGAATGTCTCAGGGCATCTCCAACCGAAAAACTCATTTTCCACTTCAAAATGTAGCAAAACTTTAAAATGCAGTAATTTATTTCCAATTGAATGGCATTTTCTCTCTCCTTTCACGCGTTTCCTGCGAAGGTAACCATTTTCTCCTATTTCCCCAGCTTTTCTCCTCTTTCGCGGGCTTCTTCAGCAAATCCTGCAGCCCAATTTCTTGGCATAGATGAACAGTCCAATGCAAATATTGGTGCCGCACTGGTAACCTACCAAACTTTGACGTGAGATTTGAAGTTCGAATGGACCGAATGGCCGACTGCATACAGTGGCATGCAATTCGGTTGGAGATGATCTGAGAATATGGACTTGCATGATTTGAGCTAGCTAAATAGAAAGAAGCTGCATTAATCAGGAGGGTGGATTGCATGGAAAAAAACGGGAGAAAAGTGGCTAAAACAAATAACATATAACAAGCAACTCTGCTAAACAATTTAATTGAGACATTTTCCAGAAATCCACTCCAGCAAGTATCATAGCTAAGTCTTCCTTCCATTCAAACGAACAATACAAATTAAAAGTTAATCCAATTCTTATCTTTTGGATCAAAACAATTGCCAAAAAAGAAGTGCACTGTACAACCAAAAAAGTAGAACAGGAACTGCTCTATGACAAAATAGTGAGAAGTGAAAATCTAACATGTATCCCAATTCTCCCCTTGTCTAAATCCAATTTTGCACCGGTCACCACCCAATATCCAGGACTATCACCAGCCCCCTTACACCTTTCCCTTGTATCCACATACTTCTGCAACTTCTTCGCTAACCCAGCAGCCGGTGGACCTCCCACAAAAATCCCTGAGTCCACCACCACCTTAGGCATCTCCACCAACACCTCTCTTTCTGCAACACTGGACAGAATCCCTGATCTCTGCAAGAATCCTGAAGGCCCTGAAGAAAACAACTGAGGCCCGCGCTCCCAAATCGACCGGGTGATAACGCAACCGGGCAGCTCTGTAAAGAGCAAGCGCAGGTGAAGAGTACTGCTACCGCCATCCATTTGAAGTTGGGCCCCAGAAACCACATAGGCTGATTCAGTAAGGGTGGGAAGCCAGTCTGGTTCTGGTTCAACCGGTGCAGTGCAAACGCGTGAGAGCCGGCGCCAATCTAGAGGCTCATAGTAGTTGTCATTGCCGGCGGCCACGATGGCTGAGCTATTCCAGCGGTGGGGGGTGGGGGTGGTGGAGCTGAAGAGAGTGGGGGTGGTGGATAGGTGTTGGAGATGGATGGCGAGGCAGTTCGTGTACTTGCCTTCCAGGTGGAGGCGGATTCCCGTGACTGGTTGGCGGTGGGGGATGATGACAGGGGAGGTGTTGATGCGGAGCTTGGGGCCGATGAGAGCTAGTTGAAGGGAGGAGGAGGATTTGGAACGATTGGAGCTGGGGCCTAATGGGTGGTCGTTGAGGAGTGGAGCCCAGGATCTGTGGGATTGGAATTCCAGAAAGTGGTGAAGCTCGGACAGAGGAGGCTTATCTGGTAGTAATAATTAAGAATAAAAAATAGTTACTGAATATAGTATGTGTTGATCAAGCAGCCATTAAGATGGGCTCAGATAGAACTGAGTTATTTGCTTTCTTTGTTAGGGCATCTCCAACAGTATTCCAAATGCTTGAATGGCTTGGCTCACAAGCTCCAGCCGAAAGGTAAAACTTTCACTATCTTGTTGCGGGTGAACAGTGGGACGTCAATATTGACGTTGCACTGTTCATCTTCGCCATTTTTCGGTCTCTACCAAACTTGCCGAAGAAAAGCGCGAAAGACAGAACGACTATTACCTTCGCAAAAGCGAGCAAAATGGAGTTCCATTGGAGATGAATCACGACATTTTTTAGTTTCACGATATTTTGCAATGAAAAATGAGATTTTTTGTTGGAGATGCCCTTAGAAAGAAAAAAGGGGGATAATACGTACATCGGAGGTACAAATTGATGGCATGGGCCAAGAAGCCAGCGCCGGCCACGCCCTTCATTAGTGAGGTTATCGGCACAAAAGTGAAATTGATAATATCTGGCATGGAAGGAACTGTGAGAAGCCATTCATAGTGGCTGCTTGCTGAAGTATCTCCTCCTCTTCTTGAACAGACGACCGTTAAGCCCTGAAACATCACCGTTCATTTGAAGTTTTCATCTTTTTTTTTTTAGATATGATGGTGACATACAGCCATTCTGTTTAGTTGATTAGGCATTTATATATTTAGAGTTAGGGAAGAATGCGATTACTCACATTTTTACATGATACATTGGTGAAACCATCCATCATTAAGGGCTGCAGGTCAAATACATTGAAAGCCTCCGAAATCTGCAAAACCCAATACACTTATTTTGTCAGTTAATTTTAGAAACAGTTCTACCGAATCTCAGAGATCTCCATTGGGTACTCGTACCCACACCCACCCACGTACCCACCCCCATACCCAAGGGTACTCCCAAAACCTCATGGGTGGATAATCAATATCGGAGGATAAAATGATTTACATTGCTAATCACCGTATGACGTATATTACCGCAATTCTCACTACACATCGTGCAACACTAAACTGCGTTGCGACCACGATAAATTATGTTATGCGGCTTGAAAGTTTTCAGTCAAAGCAAATGGTAACAAGCTTTAAGGCCATCAATCCATGACTAACTGCGTTCAAAAAATATGGAAAGTGAGTGGGTATGAGAGGAACGGCATCCCAAAAGTCACCATGGGTGGGCGAAGGCCGCTCACGTAAAGCGTGGGTATCCAATGGGTATCCAATTAGGACCCATGTAAGACTATGCTACCAATGCTTAAACTTTTTAGCAGTACTGCAACTAAATATTGGTTGTTAATCATATTCTTAAAGAAAGTGTGACTAATGATACCTTTTAATCACATTTTTTAAGTTAATTAACTTGTTATCCACACTAATAATTAATTAAATTGTTACATCATAATGAATTTGCTTTAGGAAACATAAGTTAGAGAGAGTATTAAATACCTTGGGCTTGTAGTCCTTGGACCTGTAGTGAAGAGGAGGGAGAAGACAGGTGCCAGTGAAGAGCTGGTCTCCAAGCTGGTCCAAATTGTGCTTCAGCTTGGAAGGGGAGAGGTCAGAAGTCTGATCCTGCCTCACATAAACCACATCCTGCCCTCCCACACTCAACCCCACTATTATATGAGTTCCGTAATTCTCAATAAACCTGCATGATCATTTCAATATAACTTTACTAATATTCTTGAGATGAACTCTTTGTTTACTGTGGCTTCATTTGGGATGACTTTCTTTCTGCTTCTTAAAGAAGCTTTCTATTATAAAAATTTTAATTTTTGCACTAAAAAACTGCTTTATAAAGCAGTAAGAAAGCTGTCCCAAATAAAACATGTATCAGGATGAATAAATTATCGAACCTGGCGAGGGAAGCTGGATCCCATTTAGCCGGAACTGCATCAATGACTTGATCAGAGAGCATCAATTGCTTCCGATCGATTCGGAGATCGAAGAGAGTGATGAAGTAACCATCCATGGCCAAGCTTTTGGTCTCCATTGCATCTTGAGCCCAGGAGCTGCCATTGAAACCAAACATGGCATTGAAGACTCCTGAAGGTATCTTCCCAGAAATTGCATTCCTATGGTTGAACCATTCAGACATCTATACCACAAACAAAATTTCACAATCATACAAATTTCTATCATTTCATACAAAGAAAATAACTTTTTTTTTTAAAACAAAAAACAAATTTTATTCCACAAGAAAATGACATATAACCAGAGGCCAAGAAAAAGCAAAAAGAAAAGACACAAAGCTGAAAGAAAGCTACATTAAGCCAAAACCAGCAAAGCAAGACGTAAAAAGAAAAGGAATCCGAAGAGCCGGACTCAGAATCACCATCCGGTTGCCAAGCTCGGGCCATCCATTTGGAGGAAGAATAACCATCATCGAGAGAAACCAAATACGAAATCCACTGTCAAATACACCGGAAAAGGATCCACCAAAGTTGCCACAACAAGCCATGGCCTTCCAGAGGTGTGTACAGGAGACCTGCCTCTCATCATAATCCATCAAACCACAAAAAACCAAACAACACCAATCTGCCAACAGAATGACAATAAGCATTAAAAGAAACCACTAAATTACTTTTTTTTTAGCTTTCCGTCTACGTCGCTTGCCACCAGTGGGGACAAAACGACTCACTTCCAAATTATACACAGCATCATCTATAATGTCAACTCAAGTCTCAACATCCCCACATTGCGAAGAAGAAGAACTATCCAACCGGTCGTTTTGATCCAATCACTTGCCCTTAACTTGAGCATTCAAAGAAAATAACTGTATTTACATTATCCATTACAGTTTTTGGCATGTTATTTCTGGAACATAATAGTCCGAGCAGGTAGGATTTAATGTGAAAGGATTTAGTCAGCGTTGCGTCTGTTGAATGAGACTTTTTGGCTGTTTCGCTGGCAATCTCTGCTAAGTTGATTACGTATGTGGACCTGCATAATCTTCCACGTCTAAATTTGTCTATATGGGAGCGAGTTTCTAACCACTCAGATGAGCATAAAGAAAACTTATCTACAAATTTATTTTGAAAGCGTTTGCTTGATATTTATGTGAGAGTGAATATTACATTGAACAAGCCCTTATCAATAAGCCGTTTGTTCTTTAATAGATTTTTAAGAAGAAGTTGAGCTCCATCAAACCTTAGATAATAATATTAATAACAATATTATTATTTTCCCTAAAAAATGAAAAATAACATAAATTTAATGTTTGCACACCTAAGACAAGAGTAAATTAACAAAATAAATCAAGATTTTATAATCAATAGGATGATGTAGAGCTTACTAAACCCCTCAAATTAATAGAAATATTTTTTCTGAAAATATATAAGTATGTATTTATATATTGTGTTCCAAATTAAAAAAAAAATATATTATATGAAAGCTAAATAAGTAGTAAATTAATTTTTTGAACATAAAATATATGATAGAATAAAATAAAATAACCTATTAAGAATATTTTTTGGGAATAAGTCCTAAAGACTTCTAAGAAATTCAAAAAAATTCTGTTGAACTCTAATAGTTTAATTATCTCAATTCAAAATAAATTAAAATATCAGGAAAATGTATATATTTTAATCCAGACAAAAAAGAAAAACACATAAATTATAGAGATATTTAAAATGATACAAGAGTATTGAAAATAGATATAAAAGAATATTTTAATTAAAAAAAATAAATATTTATTTTCAATGAAATCACAAAGCTTTTTGAATTTAATAAATTTATAGCCCTATTTAATATGGATAAATATAAAACCTAAAATATAGAAATTGTTTATGAGAATTGCTTTGCAATTTCCTTATGCTTTCCTCCACTACCAACTTTGTCTAAGTTGGTTGGAAACATTTATTTTTTATATTTATAATCATAAATTTTATTAAAAAAAGAGGAAGTCAAAAGTGTGAGGAATTGCTATAGTTTAAAAAAAATATTTAATTCTAATGTAATTAGAGATAAGTAGATAACCCATCTTGGCCTAATGATTATGATCTTCTTCTCTGCACAAAAGATTATGAATCTAAACTATTTGCCAAAAAAAAAAAAAAAAATCTTTTTGAAGCCATTGCAAAAAATTACCGCACTCTTAACTACTGACAAATTCAAAAAGATTCAAATTTGATAATCCGGTAAAAACTAGGAAGAAGATTTGGAAGGAAACGAAGGAACTATGAGAAAAAATAATAATTTACCATACCTGGTTAAACTCGAGCACGTCAGACTGATATCGAACTCTCTCGCCCTTGTCACACTTGATATCGACGGAGACACGCCGGAGAACGCCACCGCCGGCGACGGGTATGCAGAGGTCAACGGTGTCATCTTCGTTTAAAAGGACAAGCCGCTGCTTCCCCTTGCAGTGCTTCGGCCGGAAATCAGATGCCACGTCGAAGCCTCTTCCTAAGCACTGCAAAGCTCTCTCTGCAGCTTCTATCATCTCTTTCCCTCTCTCTGTCTCTCGCTCTCTCTGGCTTTTGATTTGTGAATGGAGGTTTAATATTTGGGATCGAGAGGAGAGAAAGGATGGGAAAGATCAAAGAAGACTCTTTCTTGCTGTTTATTTTGGAATTGGAGGGTGAAGAGTTGATATATATATGAAAGGAGGGAAAGTTTCCACTTGTTTTTGGTAAATGTTGACTGCTTTTTTTTAAATATTTATTTAATTTTATAGGGGTGGTCAATAAGTTAATTAATTAATCAGTTCATTTTATATTTCTATATATTAACGTCTAAATCATATTAAATAATATGCATCAAAACATATGTTTTGCTTTATAAAAATTAAATTAATAGTAGTTTTATATACTTTTAGATTTTAAATTATTTACTAAATAAATATTTAAAATTACATATTAAGCATATAAATATAAAAAGTTATGTGATATAATGCATTTTGTTAAGGTGATTGATGGTCTTAATGAAGTTATTAGTGTGGATTCTCTACTTAGGTAGTTATAAAACTCTTTGCTTTTGAGGGCTATTCATATTGTTAAGAAAAAAAATTATTAGAATATACTTAAAATAAAATGTGCCTGATGAATTTCAATCTTTAGATATGATTTAAGATAAGAATAATATTAATTAATAATATATATTATTTATCATTAAAGCATTAAATAATTTGAAGCTCATCAAATTTAATATTTTGATTTATTTGTAATAGTTTTCTTGCTTTGTTTTTTTCAGAGAGCTATGATAAATTTATTTTAGTAATACTTTCTCACAAATTTCTAGAAATTCATATAGTGGAGTGTTGCTTTTTTGCATTTGGAATAGTTAAATTATTTTTCCCATATAATTTCATAATTAACTTTATAAAACACTACAACCACCTTATATAGACCCTTAGATCAGAATATGCATATAATTTTTTTTCTTATTTTATTAAAGGCTCAAGAGTTATGTTGAGCAGTTGATAACTCTAATCTTTATTATGAGCGAGTTGAAGGGTTAACTCCTTTATTTTTCTTGTTTTATGAAGAAATCTATTATAAATTATCCAATTGGTGACATTGATTTTTGTTTAGGTTTTGTTTGAGACAATTTTTTTTGTTTTCTAAAATAGTTTTTTATAAGTATAAAAATTTTTGAACTAAAAAACTAATTAAAAAAGTAATAAGAAGGTTGTCCGACACGAAACATTAATGCTCTTAATTCCTTACTTGAAGTTTGTGCAATGTTATGTATGGAATTTGATTGTGCTGACCAATCTCGTTGTTTTGTTGTCTCGAACCTCAATGTTTGTTGTGCTCGTTGGGGGGTTTACCCCCTGCTTGGGTTAAAAAAAAAAATTTCCATACAGCCCGGCACTGTGTGCCCGAACACCCTGGCGCTATGTTCCTGAGCTCCCCGAAACTAAACTATAGAGAGCAGAGCGCCACAAGGGCATATGTACAACATTGTAGTGGTGCAAGACAGAGGCTTTAGTGATGCAACACTGCAAACTTGCGAGACAAACTAGACGGTTTTCCTTCTTTTTTTTTTTTTGAAGTGTTGCGTCCCTTGTTGTTATTTTACTTTGCTTCCTCTTATATTTTGTGAAAGTAGACATTGAAAATGTTGCATGTGAGAAGAGGAGTAAGGAAAGAGTTAGAGAGAAGAGATATATGTATTTATTTCTCCCAATTTTCATAGAGAATTTCTTGGAGTGGTCTAGGTTCATGGTTTTTTCCAAAATTTAATCATGATGTCTTTTATTTCTCCTGTTTTTATTTTTTTGCTTGTTTCATCGTTGTGTTGTTTATACTCCTCATCATCCCCAACACATAATTATAAGAAAGTGTGCGCCGAAAAAACAAAACACAAAACCAATGCTAATTTTTATTTTAGACTGATGCCATATCACCAAATGTAACCTTTTGAGTGATCCTCATAATAATTGATACCATAGCGTGTTTACAGAGGCTGAGGATCTGAATAAAATTTTAGCTATGTTTGAAAATTTCTCCCTATAATTTTATTATTATTTAGATTAAGCATTGCCGGCTTTTAATTAGTGGATTTTATTCTTTTTTTTAAATATATAACTCTGTTGTGTCCAAGAAAATGATAATTAAATAAGCCTTCTCTATTAGAATGTTTTGATGTAAAATATTTTATGGGCTTTAAAATTATTCAATTTATGTTGAGATCTGTGCTAATGAAAATAAAATTTGAATGATCATTTGAATAGAGCGAATTTTCATTTTTCAAAATAATTCTGTATTTTTTTCATGTGAGTTCATTTTATTTTTGGACAAATGTGAAATCATAGGTTGGATATTAGATTTGAGCAAACACATTGACTTGAAAAAGTATTGACTAAGAATATATGTTTCTTGACTTCTTATTTACAATGGTGAGCATTGTTGTTAATGAACAATGGCATGATATGATATTGTTGACAATAATTGCCATTGAAGGTGATCAATGACACACATCTGGCACTGATGGTGGTTGAAGTCGTTCTATTTATTGAGGGGGTGGGCTTGATTAAAGGCATACACACAAAATTATAAAAATATTATCTACAGTTTAACATACCTTAGGGGTGTCAAAATCGTTTCTCAGGTCAAGTTTGATTCAAACCCAAAATTGACTCGCCTTACACTAGTCCAATTCGAACCCAACTGGCCAATTCGACAAATTGGTCAGAAATTCTGACCCGGACCTGATCTGACCTGACCTGCTAACTCGGGGTTGCAAGCAAGTGCAGGCTTGGAAGGGTGGGGGCCACATGGGCAAGGGTGAGGGTGCGGACACCACGGATGAGCGAGAGAGGATAAGGAGCAAGCATGGTGTAGGGTGCGTCCTCGAGTGCAGGTCTATGTGAGAGGCTAGCGCAGACTGCGCGGCTTCCCTGCCTGTGCCGATGCGGTGCGAAAAATGTAATGGAGCCTGGCCGGGTGCATGAAGGTTGGTGCACAACTAGAACTTGGGTAAGATCTGGGTCAAATTAAAATTAGCGGGTTGAGCTGGACCCAATCCGATTTCTCAAACGGGACATAAATTGGAACCCGATCTGTTTGTTAAAAATATGTTATCCCGAACAAGAATTTTCCATATCTGGTTTAGATCGGGTCAATAATTGACACCCCTAACATTTTTAAGTGTTTGCAAAATAAAAATGTGGTTTCATAAATATCAAAATTGTTTATATATTTGATTCTCTAACACCTAAATTCTTATATTTATTTATATAGCTTAAATTTTTTTTATACCAAATCACCCATTTTTAAACCAATAATGTTTGATAAATATAGAATACAATGACCAATATATGCCCCATATAAGACATGCTATTAGTATCACTTTAAAAAATAATAACAAAAAAACAAAATATATTATAAATTAACTAAAATGAGATGATGATAATCTACTTGAGTTAAAAATTAATTAAATTTTTAATTTTAAGGTGACAGCAAAAGAAAAATATTTTTAACAATTAACTTGTTTGGATTATTTCCTTTTTATAATATTTTTTTGAACAAAAACAAAATTTATAATTATTTAAATGATATTATATGCTATGTTTATTATTATTTTTTAATTACAACATCATATCTTTAATATCTTCTTTAATATATATTTGTGTCATATATTTTTAAATCTTATTTATAAGCAAAAAAATTATGTGAGGATCTTCTAATAGATCTTGCATTTTGATTTGTGTATTTTTTAGATATCATAAATAATATTAATTTTAATATAAATTAAAAAAGCTTTAAATTTTTACTGAATTAATATTTTTTGATCTAATGAAATAAAACTTGATGAAGCATATGACAATGAAGACTTGAAGTTAATCTTCCATCCCTTGTCATTAATTAACTGTTAACTATAATTTCGTTTGGGATGACTTTCTTACTATTTTATACCGTAATTTTTTAGTTTAAAAAAACTATTGAAAGCAACGAAAAGCAGTATTCAAAAGCTGTACCAAACAGAAGCCAACGTGTTTTAAGGGCAGATTATTTTCACATTTAGAGTCAATGAAACCTGTTCCCATAGCATGCCTGATTTATTTTGACTGCAGTTTTTTTCCTCTTTGTTTGACTGCAACAACTTCTACGTCAACATTTGTCAAATTATTCTGTCTGAATGAGACCTCTCTGCAACTTTGTAGAAAAAAACAAAACAAAAAAGAATGAAACCACACAGCCAAAGTTTTTCCCACTTATGGTTCTTATTTCCAAAATCCTTATTTCATGCCTCGCATTATAAACCCTAACTAAGCCTTCGTTTGGAAAAATTATTAGCTGCGGTTTGGGTACCTAGTGGTACCGAGTGCCGGTACCTAGTTGGATATAGTACTTGTGCGGACGGTTCTCCCCGTCCGCACTCTGCACCTAATAATCTCTCCTTCGTTTGGGACTGCAATCTTGTTGTTTTCTGAGACAACTTTTAAGTATAATTTATTTTTAGTTTGAGAAAATTTTGTATTAAGGCTTCGTTTGGGACGAATTTTTTACTACTTAAAGTAGTTTTCGAGTACACAAATTTTAACTTTTGTACTAAAAAGTTTTTTTAAAAAGCAGTGAGAAAGTCATCTCAAACGAAGCCTAAGACTTTTTTTGGGATAACTTTCTTGCTGTTTTGTTTTTTCAGACCTTAATCACAATTTCTATTTCGTCAATATTTTTGCGTTGCTTTTAAAAATTTTGTGATTTAGACACTAACACATTATATATATAAATATTTTTTTTTTTGCAATCAACATAGAAACCAATAAAAATGGATGAGAGGACAATAATTTTTGTATAATTATGCCACCTAAAAACCCCTCAAATTAATCTTTTTTCTTATAGATTTTAGAGTGATTAGCATCCTTTGTGTTGAGAGATTAGAATATTAATCAATACCCAATAAAAAAATAATTTTAATTTTATTTGAACTATATATAACAAGACTTTAGATGTCGATTGAAAGAATTTCAAAACTATTCAAAATATGTGATGTGAAATATTTATTATGGCAAATTATAGTCATAGTCTCAAAGCCGCATTAGTCTTCCACTGGCAGCTGTTTGCCACATTCATACATTGCGTATTTGCGTAGGACATTATTATGGCCATACGTTT